GGTTAGATTCTTAATTTTTAGTTCCACTAATAAGAGGCATTTAAGGTTCAGTTTTTCTATACATACAGGCATACAAGCAATAAATTACATAAATATTAAGTGCAAGTTTTATTAATTTGTACACATATGGAACCACTTCCCAGATCAGGATGTGGAGTGTTTCCAGCACTCCAGAAGAAGCTCCCTGCCCCTACCTAGTCAGTATGTTGACCCCCTTCCAGGAGCCATTCTGTCATAGGTTAATCATAGATTATATACGGTGTTTACTATTGGTCTCTAATGTTGTAGCTTAAGCATGCTGTAGTCAGATAACATATTTGTGGGTTTTTTTCTTTGTTACAGTTTGTTTTGTGGCTTTGAATTGGGTTTGTTTTTACTGTTTCATGTGTGTTTGAATTCTTGGCTGTAGGAGTCTATTGACTCAGGCTTATTTATAGTATTGCTCAAATCATTTTTGGCTGCGTGATATATTAAATGTTGAAAGAAGTGTGTGACAGTCTCTCACTGTGGATGTTGATTCATCCATTCTTTCATGATATTCTCTAACGTTGGCTTTTATTTGTCTTAAGATAATGTTATTGGGGACATAAGCCTTTATCATTGTTTTGTCTTCTGGTGATTGAACCATTTTATTATTATGTAATGATCCTTTTATCTGTAGTACTTTCTGTTTGTTTTTACATAAAGTCAGCTTCCAGTGGCAGCTGTAAAATCGTGTTAGAACATGCTTTCTCGATAGCCAGTGTTAATCCAGGTTTGGCCTTGAACAAGTTTCTGTCTTTTGGGTTTCATATTGGAGAAAAGGGTAACAGAGCAGGCGCCTCATCAACATGGTTGGGAGAAATTAGTGTGTGCAGTACAAAGAACATTTCTTAGCATATAGAAAATTCTCACTATATAGTGACTTTATATTATTATTACATGATATTTTTTGTGCTAGCTTCCTTTTAATATGTCTTTTTACACTCTTAATTAAATTGTTAAGTTAATTTTTAGCATCTTATTTTATGCTGTTTACCCAGGACTCTTTTTGCTTTTTTTTTGTTGTTGTTTTCCTGACTTCTTCAGGATTTAGTCAACTTCTCTCTTTTTTTCTAACTCTAGTTCAGAAATTATATATGTCTATCCTTATAGTGGTTACTCTTTCTTTTTTTAAAGGGCATAATTGATATTTTTTTTCCTAAATCTAAAGATAGTGTCAACTTCCTTCTAGATAATACAAGGACCTTAAAGGGCTTTAACTCCAGTAGTTCTTCAGATTCTGACTTACGTGATTATTTCAGTTTTATTTTGTTTTTACAATTCTCAGTGGGTTACTTGTTTTATGAAGTCAACATTTATTTATACTTCCCCCCATGTTTATCATCTTTTTGCTTATTATTGTTCTTGTATCTCACTTTTTCTTTCTGGGTTCAGTTTTATGTCTCAGATGCATTCTTTGGGAGCTCTTTGAGATGAATTAGTGCTACTCTCGTTTAGTCTCTGATTGAAAATCTGTACAGTTGACCCTTGAACAGCATGAGTTTAGACTTCATGGTTCTACTTTACACATGGATTATAGATTTGATCCACAGTTGGGAATCCATATATGTGGAGGTCCAACTTAAGTTATACATGAATTTTCTACTGTGCAGTAAGTCAGTGCCCCTAAGCCCCTTGAAGTTTAATAATCAACTGTATTTTGTCTCTAATACTGAATGCTAGTTTAGCTAAGTATAGGTTTATCATTTGACAGTTACTTTTCCTCAAGATTTTGAAGATATTTTATTGTTTCTGCCCATTCCTTGCATTGAACTATCCTATGTCTTTCCTTGGTTTGTAGGTGTATTATAAATGTTAAAAGTTTAGTCTGGCTGGTGTGGCTCAGCAGTTGAGCATCGACCCATGTACTGGGAGTTTGCCGGTTTAATTCTCAGTCATGGCACATGCCCAGGTTGTGGGCCAAATCACCAGTGGGGGGCATGCAGGAGGCGGCCAATCAATGTTCTCTCATCGCTGTTTCTCTCTCTCTCCCTCTTCCTTCCTCTCTCTCTCAAAAAAATAAATAAAGGGGAAAAAAAGTTTATCATCTTCCTGCCCCACAAACGGGCTATGTGCACTCCACCCAGTGGCCATATGCATCAGTGTGATAAGGTTGGCCTTTGCCTTAAATTCCCCTTCTTGCCTTCCCTTGACTGTGACCTAGTGACATTCAGATGCACCATTGAAATCCCCTTGTGCTGCTGTTGTGTACTCCACCCTGATTCCAGATAAAGGCACTTGTTGCAGGTTCTTACACATGCATGTGCACCTCACTCTCCAGTGCGCTCTCTCTTGCTCTCTCTCTCTCTCACAGCTCCTACCCACTTGGTTGAGCCATGCCCTTGGTGCTCCTCCAGTGTGACCCCCTGGGTTCTCTCTAGGACCTATAATAAACTATGAATATAATAAACTTTGTTTTCCTGAGTCTCCCATGTGCCCACTCTTGTGGCCACAATTAACTGACCTTTGCCTAAAAGAACACAGGATAGCAGATAATCTTTATCTTGTTGCTTTTGAGAGTTTCTGTTTGTTGATACACAGCCATTATCTCTTTTAAAAATAGCTTTATTGAGATATAATTCACAAACCTTACAGTTCACCCATTTAAATGTACTATTCAGTGTTCTTTAGTATATTCACAAATATGTGCAACCATTACTACTGTTTAATCCTGTGTACATATACATTTTGCCATACACATTTTAATCAGCTTCAGATTTATACTGGCTTAATTAGTGATATGTGGACATGTTACTTCTATATACCTTTAACCCCTTTCCCTCTTTTGTGATATTGTTGGACACAGTAGGTCTCTTAGTGTTACAAATCCAACTATACATTGTTGTAATTACTTTTATCATTTTCAGTCATTTCCTCAGCCCAGTGCATCTTTGCTTCCACATACCTTCTTTGTGCTGTTATTGGCAAATATGTTATACACATACATATATGTTACAGGCTGAATTATATGCATATTATTTGATACAATTGATTTTCAAGTAAGGTAAGAGAGTAAAGGAGAAAAAATACTCATTTATATTGTCTTTTTAAATTACATAATTACCTTTCTGTTGCTTTTTGTTTTTGTGTATGGATTCATAATACTCTCTGAGGGTCACTTCCTTTGGTGTTTCTTATAAGGTTAGTCTGAAAGCAACAAGTTCTCTCAGTTTTTATTTATTTGGTAAAGTCTTTATTTTATCTTCTTTTTTTTTTTTTGTTTTTTTTTAAAGATAGCCTTGCTAGATACAGGATTCTTGGTTGAGTGTTTTTTCTTTGAGCACTTTTTTTTTATCCTCACCCAAGGACATTTCTCCATTTTTTTTTCAGAGAGAGAGAGAGAGGGAGGGAGGGAGGGAGGGAGGAGAGAGAGAAACATCGATGCAAAAGGGACACATCGAGTGGCCACCTCCTACACAACCCAACCAGGGATGGGTACAAACTGCAACCGCGGTACATGCCCTTAGTGGGAACTGAACCCAGGTCTCTCTGGACCACAGGCCGACGCTCTAACCACTAGGCAAAACTGGCCAAGGCTCTTTGAGCATTTTTAATATATTATCTTATTCCTCTGGCCTCTAATTTTTTCTGCTGAGAAGTCAACTGTTAATCTTATTGGGGTTTCCTTATAAGTAACAAGTCATTTTTTGCTTAGTATTTTTAAGATTTTCCCATTGTCTTTGACTTTTAGCATTTTTACTGTGGTGTGTCTGTCTGCTGTGATAGTTCTTTGCAGTGATCCTATTGCACTTTCCAGATGGTTTTAGATTTTCAATGAATTTGAGAAATCTTCAGTTGTTGTCTCTTCAGATATTTTTTTTCTGCTTCTTCCCGTCCCTTCTTCTGTTGATCTTCCCATTTTGTGTTGTCGTTGCATTTGATGTGTCCCATTTTGCTCCCAGTGCTCTCATTTCTCCTCATTCTTTTCTTCTCTTTTTTAGCAGAGAACAATTTTATGTGAGTTTCTTGCCCTGGAAGTTCTTCTCCACATGAGTTTATAGATTTGACTCCAATTTTAAGTGAAACAAAGACCAATGGTTGTTGAATTTCTAGAGAGTTTTTGTAGACATTCCTGCCCTATTTAGAGACAGGAGCTGACTTATTTTTCATACTCCTTTGTCTTTCAGTGAGCATGCATCCCTTTGGAGACCACCTCCGCCTCATCTCTAGTCCCTTTCCCAGGCATCTGTCATGTCTGCCAGCTTAAGGCTCTGAGTTCTCAGCTCCCTTCTGACTCTAGCCATGGTTATTCCTCTTCTTCTAATCCCAGGTCATCTCTGCACAGTTGACTGCGTGTGTCTCTGTAGTGGACTGAATGGACCATCTTTCAAGCAGTACAAGCAGCTGCTTGGGAGACTCATTCAAAACACATTCTGATTTTTATTTAAATGGTTAATATGTGCGGCATCTGCATCTTAGAATTGAGCAATTCTTTTTTTTTTATTCTCACTCGAGGACTTTTTTTTCTTTTTGCATTTATCTTCAGATAGAGCAGGAGGGAGAGAGAGAGAAAGATCGATGTGAGAGACACATCGAGTGGTTGCCACCTACACAACCCCAACCAGAGCCGGGGACAAACTGCAACTGAGGTATGTGCCCTTAGTAGGAACCGAACCGGGGTCTCTCTGGTCGGCAAGCCGATGCTCTAACTGCTGAGCCAAACTGGCCAGGGCAGAATTGAGGAACTCTTAAAAGTAAATTGCTTAGGCACCTTAAAAGCAGATACTTTTATAGGCTTTCCCCTGGCACCTGGCACTCTTCTCTGTTCTAGCTGTCCAGGCTTGTGGCTAAGTGTGCTCTGGCCAGGTGTGCTTTGTCCTAACAGAGTGCTATAGTGACCTCTCTTGAACAGCCACTAACAGGAGGGCTCTCAGGTTGATCTTGCCAACTCCTCTGTTGTTATGTTTGTGGGGAGAGTCAGGGCTGGTTCTGCTGGTAACATATATGTTTATGTTTGTGTTTGTATGTGCCTATTGCAGGTCAAACGTGTGTTGACATCAAGGACAATGTGGTGGATGAAGGGTTCTACTTCACCCCCAAAGGAGATGACCCGTGCCTGAGCTGCACCTGCCATGGAGGGGAGCCAGAGATGTGCGTGGCTGCCCTCTGTGAACGGCCCCAGGGCTGCCAGCAGTACCGCAAGGACCCCAAGGAGTGCTGCAAGTTCATGTGTCTGGACCCAGGTGAGATTGATGGTGGGTCACAAATCAGTCCCCCTGTTGAGGGCTGGAGGCCACATGGTTCATTGCATCCTTAGTGGTGGGGACTTGTGAGAGCTCACAATACATGGCATAGTAGCAATGGCAGCATTTGCCTAGAAAGCTGTCTTCTAGGCTTTGATGGGTAATACTCTAATGAGCATGTGTCTCGCACACAACCTGGCCTCCTCTAACTGCTACCTTGCAGGTTGGTTCATTTTAGCTCTCGAGTAACAAGTGTCATTCACTGATGAATTTGAGCTTGAGTGTGGCTATATGTTTATAAATCAGCTGTAACTGATGTCTTCAGACCTTTTTCCTCGCCTTTTAAGACTAAGAGCAAGACTTCCAACTTACATCTCTGTTTGAGCTCTTCCTGTTTTCTGAATATGGTGATGTGGTTGGTAATAACTATTTTCATTACTTACAGTTATCATTTTTTATTGTTAGAATCTTTAAGAAAAAAGATTAAATATTACCCTCAGTTTTATGATAACACTCCCCATTAGGTGGCACTTTGCAGGTGGCATTATGCAGCCATGTGGTCTCTGGGTGACATTTCTTCCTCTTCCAAAAAGACCAGCAGGTGGGGTTCCTGCTCTGTAGGACCATCAGGACCTATCAAACTTCATATAGCATGCTGGATGGCTCTCCACACCAGTGCAGTTAGCATCTCTGTATGAATTCATGATCTCAGGAAAAATGTAAATTAAAAGCATGAATTTGTTTTGTTTTCTTTCTTGGCTGCCAGAGTACAAAAGTGATGTGGACAGAGACTTGTGAAAGGCCCTGGATTCATAGGCCCTGCAGAAAAGCAGCTTGGGTGGGGCATGGTGGCTGTCTCCATCCCCTGGGACCCTCATGGAAGAGAGACTGGTTTGCTTTGTGCTAATGGGAACTGGAGCTGGCACATGAAGGCCACAACAAGAACTGTTCCAGAGTAGGAAGTTGTCAGTATTCTTGTACACCAGGAAAGCTGCTGGCAAGAGGGCAGAAGCTACCTAAGGCTCAGCAGAAGGGGGGTGCTCTGGCCCAATGTCCCATCAAAGGTGCATAGTTGGTTGTGGAGAGAGCAAAGGCCTTGTATAACCAGGCTTATACAAAGATGGCCAGTCTGTGGGCATGTGTGGCGTGTGGGGCTCACCCAGCCTTGAGGAATTCTCAGGAGACCAAGGCCCTCAGGGTATCTGGGTGGTCCCAGAGCAGCTTAGTTAGGGCCTTTCCCTTCCCCTTGCTTCTTTAGGCTCCTGACAGTCCCCCGGGTTGAGTGCTTTCTCCTGGAAAGTTCCCACACTGCCCCAAGGATAGAAATACTGCCACCAGAACTGGAGACACTCAGAAAGTGTCCCTTTTAACAAAGCAAGAGTGTCTGCTCTCACTACTCTGTTCAGGGTTGTACTGGATATCAAGCACAGTACCAGAAAATTAAAAGGCATCCAGATTAGAAAGGAATAAATGAAATTATCTCTCTTTGTAGACAACATGATTGCATAGAAAATCCCAGAGAATGTACAGGAAACTAGTAAGTGTGTTTAGCAGGGTCTCCAGATACAAGGTCAATATAAAAAAAAAAATCCATTGTATTTATATATACAGGGTGGGGCAAAAGTAGGTGTTCAGTTAGTATAAATCTTAACAAAGTATATGTACTATCTGTATGCTATAAGTGATAAAACACTGATGAACAAAATAAAAAATGTAAATAAAATTTACACCAATTAAAGATACACCATAGTCATGGATCTGAAGGTTCAATATTATTAGGTAAATTCTCCCCAAATTATCTGTAGATTCAGAGCAGCCCCAACCAAAATGCCAGCATATTTTTTATAGACATTGACAAGCAGATTCCAAAATTTATGTGGAAAGGCAAAGGGTAAATTCCTCCCATTAATGTGCCAACAGCAGTGAAGGCTCAACTACAACAGGAAAGTGCACACAGCCCACATGGGGCTGGGATTGGGGGCACACCTGGATTGCCCTGCTTGAGTGACCAGAGAGGCTGTGCTACTGGGCCCTATAGCACACTTACTACATAAGACCACTCTACTAAGGCCGGAAGACCTAACGGTTCTACCTAATACACAGAAACAAACACAGAGAAGTAGCCAAAATGAGGAGACAAAGACACATCCCAAATGAAAGAGCAGAATAAAACTCCCGAAAAAGAACCAAATAAAATGGAGACAAGCAATCTACTAGATGCAGAGTTTAAAACACCGGTTATAAGGATGGTCAGTGAACTTAGGGGAAGAGTAAATGCACTTAGTGAGAACTTCAACAAAGAGATAGGAAGCATAAAAATAGAGATAGAAAACAAAAAGCCAGTCAGGAAAGCATAGTACAGTAACTGAAACGAAGTATATATTACAGGGAACCAAAAGTAGAGTAGATGAAGCACTGGATCAAGTCAGTGATTTGAAGATACAAAGAAGCAGAAGACACCCATTCAAAAAAACAAAAAAAATCCAGCCGGTATGGCTCAGTGGACTGAGCATCGTCCCATGGACTGAGAGGTCCCGGTTCAATTCCCAGTCACGGCACATGACTGGGTTGCCGGCTCAATCCCCAGTGAGGAGTGTGCAGGAGGCAGCTGATCAATGTTTTTCTCTTACATCGATGTTTCTATCTATCTCTCCCTTCCTCTCACTCTCCCAAAAACATGAGGATAATTTAAGGAGCCTCTGGGACAACTTCAAGAATACCAACATTTGCATCATGGGGGTGCCAGAAGAAGAAGAGAGAGAGAGCAAGGAATTAAAAACCTATTTGAGCCCTGGGTGGTTTGGCTCAGCAGTTAGAGCGTCAGCCTGTGGACCAAGGAGTGGCGGGTTCAATTCCATTTTGGGTCACATACCTCAGTTGCCGTTCACTGCCTTGCCGTGGTTGGGTATGCGGGAGGCAACCAGTCGATATGTCTCGCACATCGATGTTTTTCTCTCTTCTCCTCCCCTCCTCCACTCTATATGAAGATAAATGGAAAAATACACTCAGGTGAGGATTTTTTAAAAAAAACCTATTTGAAAAAATAATGAAGGAAAACTTTCCTAACATGGTGAAGGAAATAGACATAGAAGTCCAGGAAGTACCAGTCCCAAACAAGATGAACCCAAAGAGGCCCACACCAAGACACATCATAATTAAAATGCCCAAGTTCACCCTGGCTGGTTTGGCTCAGCTGTTAGAGCGTCGACCTGTGGTCTAGAGAGACCCGGGTTTGGTTCCCGTGTACCTCAGTTGCAGTTTGTCTTCGGCCCTAGTTGGGTCGTGTGGGTGACAACCACTCGATGTGTAAACTTTTACATCCATGTTTCTCTCTCTCCCTCCCACTCTATCTGAATAAAAAATGGGAAAATGTACTCGGGTGAGGATAAAAAAAAAAAAAAGGCCAAAGTTTGCCCGGCCAATGTGGCTCAGTGGATTGGGCATCATCCCAGGCACCAGGAGGTCTCCAGTTTAATTCCCGGTTAGGGCACATGCCCGGATTGTGGGCTTGATCCACAGTAGGGAGTGTGCAGGAGGCCACCTATTGATGTTTCTCTCTCTCTCCCTATCTCCCTTCATCTCTAAAAATCAGTGAAATATATATATTTTTTAAATGCCAAAGGTTGCCCTGGCCAGTTGCTCAGTGGTTAGACCGTCAACCCACAGACTGATGAATCTCGGGTTCGATTTTGGTTAAGGACACATACCTTGGTTGGAGTTGGTTCCTGGCTCTAGTTGGGCGGTGCTGGAGGCAACCAGTTGATGTCTTTCTCACATCATGTTTCTGTCTCTCTCTCTCTCTCTTCCTCCCTCCCACTTTATCTGATGATAAATAGAAAAATATCCTCGGGTGAGAACTTAAAAAAAATGCCCAAAGTTTCCCTGGCTGGTTTGGCTCAGCAGTCAGAGCATCAGCCCTCGGACCAATGAGTTGCGGGTTCGATTCCGGTCAGGGGCACGTTACCTCAGTTGCTGTTCAGTCCCTGGTCCTGGTTGGGATTGTGCAACAGGCAGCCAGTCGATGGTGGCCCTCTCATACTGATGTTTCTCTCTCCCCCTCCCTCCCACTCTGTCTGAAGAGAAATAGAAAAATATCCTCGGGTGAGGATTAAATAAATAGATAAATACAAAGGTTCGCCCTGGCCAGTTTGCTAAGTGGTTAGAGCATCAGCTCGCAGACCAGATTGTCGCAGGTTCGATTCCAGTCAAGGGCAAGTACCTTGGTTGCAGTTTGGTTCCCGGCCCTGGTTGGGTCATGTGGGAGGCAGTCAGTCAATGTCTCTTTCACAACGTTGTTTCTCTTTCTCTCTCCCTCTCTCTCTGTCTTGAAAATAAATGGAAAAATATCCTTGGCAGGGAGGAAATGGGCAAAATAGTTCAAATGACATCTCACCAATGAAAATACAAGTTAGCAGCCAAGCACTTAAAAGGATGTTTGACAGTGGTCATTAGGGAAGCAGATTGAATCCACATGGGGTACCTCTCCTAAAGGACAGGCTAATTTGACTGCATCTCTCCCAGTGCTTTCCCCTCCCATTGCTCAGGTGCCCTGGGACAGCCTGGGGCCAGAAGGCTTCAACAGGTAAGGTGCCTGGCTTTGCAGCATCCTATAGCAGAGCACACATTAGGGTCCAGGAAACCAGCCTCTGATTCCTATTGAGCTTCTGCCCCACATATCTCTGAGGGTGGAGATTTGGAGCTGTTTCCATGTAACCAAGTTCATTGACACCATGGAGCTCTTCACGTCCAGGCTGGGGAGTGCTGGGGGTGACTCAGGCATCAGACCAAAGGTCAGGCCAGGTGGACTTCAGCACAACTTTAGTTCCAACAGCATCTACCTCAGCAGGATGTGTCATTTGTCTAAGGCCCAGGTACAGTCCAGAGCTCCGTGGAGGGACCAGCCAAGTTAAGTGCCACCCCAGACCCTTGGGCCGGCCTCTGGCTCCTGGGATAGTGCTCTCTTCTTTGTGTCTGAACCAAGGTGGCTTGGTTCTAGGACATGCTTCTTCCTGGTGACCACTGTGGAGGGATGATCAGGGACCTTGACTATGTCCTTGGGTTTATTTTAGAATGAATTAAGAGTTAGTTATTGCAAAGGGGCTACTACTACTTTAGGTGCATCCCTGGATCACTGAGCTAGCCACCAATTGACATACATTTCAGCAGCCCCCTAAGCTGATGGATATCTTCCCACAGGCAGGGACAAAAATGTTCCCTTGAAATTGGAAGAGACCCCGCCAGTGTGGCTCATTTGAGCGTCATTCCATGCACCAGAGTTTGCCGATTTGATTCCTGTTGAGGGCACATGCCTGGGTTGTGGGCTCCATTCCCAGAAGGGGGCATGCAGGAAGCAACCAGTTGATATTTCTTTCTCATCGATGTTTCTCTCCCTCTCCCTTCCTCTCTCTGAAAAATCAATAAAAGCATATTCTAATCATTTTTTAAAAATTGGAAGAGAATTAGAGGCATCACGAAAAACAGATCATTGGTGAGAGGATGTGTCCTTTCCACATATTTGCTTCTGAAGAATTGTCACCAATAAATGTAGCTTTCTGGCCCTGTGAGCGGAGGGCAAGAGTGAGAGTTCTGGCCATCTGCATTGGCATAGAGCATGCTTAGCCAGCAAGAATGGCAGGAGGGCTCTAGAAGTCTGGCCCCTTACTCATGGAACCTGTGTTGGCTGTGAAGTGTCTCCAGGGCTAGTAGTTGGGGACCTGCCTAACTTCTGTGACTTGGTGCTAGTCACATCTCATCTAGGTGAAGGGACCTAGAAATGGCTATCACATCATAGGCACTTGGCCTATACAAGTTCTCTTCCTTCACACCTAGTTCCTTGATCAGCATCTCAGCAGCTTCCTAGCAAGCACCTGAGAAACTCCAGTGAGCGACAGGGCAAGGCAAATGTTTCCACCCCAGCTCTGTGGACATTTTGGGCTGGACTGCTATGGGGCTGTCTTGTGCACGGCAAGATGTTGAGCAACATCCTTGGCCTCTACCCACCAGGTGCAAGTAGAACTTCCACATAACACCACCACCACCACCTCACAGTGGTTGGTGATGACCAAAAGTGTCTCCATTGTTTAATGTCCATGGTGGGGGGGGGGGGTGTAGGAACCCCTGGTCCAGGGTCCAGGGGCTTAGTCACAGTGACTGACTCTGTACAGTGTGGTCTGGGGCACAGGGGCCCATGACAGAGCACCCTCAAACGACAGCCCCAGTGAACTTAGGTAGAAGGGTTGCATTGCTTGGGACTTAAGAATGCTAGGCTGGAGGGTGAGGCCGGCAACCACCATAGAGTTGCTGCCTGGGCCCTGGGCTCCGGGCTCCCACTACCTCTGCCCTGAAAGTTTAGGTGTAGTCCAGACTCCAGGAAGCTGCTGTGGAACACCAGGTCCTCCACCACAGAGCTGACCAACAGCAGGGACACGACCTCGGCCTTTCTCAGCCTCGCTTGAGCCAGGACTGGGGCCCAGGGTAGAGACCAGCGGGGTGAGCAGATTAGCCACATCTCAGGATTATCCTAGTGTGAGGACTTGCTCCTGATGTGTGTCTCCTCCCGGTCTCCCTAGATCGTGAGTGTGAAAATCGAGCCTTTGGCAGTGATGGACACATTTCTGTATACCAAAGGCTTCCCCACCAACAGAGAAGGTTGGCAAAGTGGGCTGTGAGGAGGTCAAGAATTAGATCAGCCACTTATGGGCAAGAGGAGGACAGGGGCTGTAAACAGGGACTCGGGGGGCCCAGTAGAGGCCACATCCTCATCCTCTGCCCTGATCAGCTGCAGGGCTCCAAGTGATTTCGGCCTCCATGTTCGAGCACTGCTGGGTGTTAGCGAGGGGCAGAGGACTCTGGGAGAACCTTGATGGAACTGGAGCCCAGATCTGAACTGGGGCCAATCACATTGCCCCACTAAGCCTCAGTTCCCTCTGAACAGGAACATTTCTTCTCCTTTGTAGGGTTGTGAGAAATCTGGGAAGTGCTAGATGCTGCAGCCAGCTGTATAGTCCTATTCTGTTTGGTACCTTCTATCAAGCCCCTGTTGCGGCTTCCAGAGGCTCACACCCCAGCAATGGATGAGTGGGAAGATGGGGCAGGGACAGGGGCCTCTGGTGAAGACGGAGACGGGAGCCCCCTAGACAGGCAGAGCAGTCATCTCCATGGCCTCGTCTTCCCACACTCACTAACAGGTGTGGCTGGGCTGGGCTGTGGCATTGGTGGGGTGCCTCTGAGTCCGTTGCTATATGCTGTGCGTGAAGGTCAGCATGTGTCCCCTGAATGCTTGCCTTCACATGTGCCTGGGGCTGGTGTAGGGTGGGGACAGGTGTTTGCTCTGATTTAAGGATTGAGATGATGGCTTCCTTCACAGCTGTGATGGGGTCTCATTTGTGAGAGGGCCCTGGGCCGACCGTCCTTCCCCAGCAGTCACTGTAGACTGCATCCACGCTCGGCATTAGTGAAGCATATACATCTAAATCCAGAATGGATCCCGTGCTGTCACTTCTCCCTTTGTCACCACCCTAGTCAGGCCACTGTTACTTCCTCCCCTGGATGCTGCATGCACCTCCTCACTGGCTTCTCTGACACTCCCACGCTCCTTTCTCTGCAGCCTTCCTCCATGCAGTTCTGCTGAGCCAGAGCCCCTCAGGAGGCAACACTCCCCACTCCAAGTCCCCCAGTGGCTTCTTATCACATGAGAATATGAAATAGACCCAGGCCTGGCCGGGCCACGCACTGGTTCCTGCCCTCAGGCCCTCCCCATGTCCTCCTTGGGAGGCCTTCCGTGCTACTGGCTCACAGGATACACATCCGCTTTGCCTTTGATCCCTTTACCCTGCTCCACAGTGTTCAGGGCACTTTGTGTAATTTAGAATTATATATGGCGTTATGGTCTCTCTCACATGTATGGATGCTTGGTGAAGACAGTGCATTGATAGATTTTCCTCAGTTTGTCTCCCTGACCCTTAGATGCACCTTGTTGAGCAAGAGGGCATGTACTCAGCACCTGGAGAAAGGCACGTGGCCTCTGCAGGTGTTGCTCCTTCTCCCTGGGCACACAGAGCATGGGTCTCCTCTCGTTTGCTCATTTAATGCTGATCCTAGAAGAAGATGGCTTCCTTGCTCACCAGGCATCCTTGGTATTTGCACACAGCAGGTATTCAAGGCCTGCAGCACTTGAAGGAAGGTGCCTGGTCACCTAACACAGGTGCATTAGGGGAGGCCAAGCCCCTGGTCTGACCAGGGAGATTGAGCTCCCATGATACCTGAAGCAGGCAGAAGTGCTCATCACCTGTATCATGTTAAAAATTTTCCTGGCCCGTGATCTGCTTCTCTCCTGTGATGTTACTACAGTATTATTGATTTTCAGCTTGCTTGTTTCTGCCATCATAAGATTGTGTTGGGAAGTAAGTCGTCTTGTCCACATAGTTGTGTGATGGAGGGCCATGGCCTTTTCATAGTGCTGAGTACTCGGGGGTCTGGACCTGCTTTTCTGAGAGCAGTGGGTTTCTTCCCTTCTTCTCTAACAGATGGGAATAGCCTGTTCGACTCCATGGCCAGTGGGATGCGTCTCATTGTTAGCTGCATCTCCTCCTTTCTCATCCTGTCCCTGCTGCTTTTTATGGTCCACCGGCTACGCCAGAGACGCCGGGAACGCATTGAGTCCCTGATTGGAGCAAACCGTGAGTGCCCCAGCCCCTGCCTATGACAACCACAGTGTAGGCCTGCCCCTGGCTGTGTCCCAGGAGGAATTGAGACACAGGAGGCAGGGAGGGGCAGAGAGGAAATGTAGCACGTGATGGAGGGTGCTGAAAGGCATCCCTGTCCCACCCACTTGCTCTGGGCTGAGTGGACACCCGAGGCACTAGAGGAGCTCTTTGCAGGACCCAAAATCAGAGACCATGGGCACATGGAGGGAGGGTGTACCTCCAGCGCCCACTGACCCCAGGCTCCCCTGCCCTTGCCTCGGCCCTCTGAAGCAGGATGGCCTAGGCCATGAGTGTGGGCCTCCTGCTAGGAGAAGCAGCAGCTTATGCTCGTGGCCGAAAATCCACGGTAGTGCAGCTGACCCTTAGTCCCATTTGCCTGCAGCGGCCCGGCCTCCCCAGTCCTGTGTGGGGTAGGGCAGGGCAGGTACAAGTAGGCAGGAAAGGATTCAGAATCAAGGTGGCAAGAATGCTGAGGGACCCGCCAGCTTCTGTTAGGGGTCTTGATGTCTCCTAGGGAGCCCAGATCGGGTCTGATGTCCCCACATCATTGTGAGCCAACAAGATTTTTCCCAAGGCCTTCCTCAGTTCTCTCTGAGGTGTAGGGTGGGCAGAACTCAAAGGCAGTCGTGAGCTAGACACCCAGAAATACGTTAGAGCTAGAGGGGTGTGGTGAGGGCTGGAGCACAGTAGGCAGACCTGTTGCACGGGGGTGATGGGTGGGGATGTACTGATGGGGCCGCTGGGTGAGTTTCAGGACTCGTGGGCAGCGAGGCACAGAAGTGTGACAGTCGGAATGTCTGGCACCCTGGGCTAGGGGAGGTGGGCCTCAGGAGCTGACCAGTGCGTTTTCCAGTGTCATGATCCTGTTGCTTGTTTCTCACTTCCATTGCCCAGTGCACCACTTCAACCTTGGCCGAAGGATCCCCGGCTTTGATTATGGCCCGGACGGGTTCGGCACAGGCCTCACACCGCTACACCTTTCTGATGATGGAGAAGGCGGGACTTTCCACTTCCATGACCCTCCGCCCCCCTACACTGCGTACAAGTACCCAGACATTGACCAGCCTGATGACCCACCGCCACCCTATGAGGCCTCCATCAACCCTGACAGCGTGTTCTACGACCCTGCAGGTGCTTCCCCAACAGGGAAAGGGAGCAGCCTGTCACCAGTCACTTGGCTTGCAGGGCCCAGGGGTCCTCCCCAGTGCACAGGGCTGTGAACTCTGCTGCTTCCCAGCATTCTGTTGCTATCTCTGGTTTCCCCTATAAAGTAGAACTGCCACCTGTCAGTGGACAGGCTCTTCCCAGGGTCGTATGTACAGATGACTGCTGACAACGATCACGCTGTCCCTTGCCTCCCATCCAGGAACATCTGTTAGCAAACAGCCCTTGGACACCCAATCCTAGCTCTGTGGAGAGCTGGGAACCGGGCATTGGCAGTCATGGGGACAGGGCTGGTCCAGAACCAAGTGTTGGGCTATGAACTGAGGAGAGACCACCGTGACATTCCCTTGTGTCCTGGGGCAGCTTTGTGACATAGGAAGAATACACTGGCTCTGTGGTGGTGGGCCAGTTACTTGAATATGTTCCTCCCAGGGCTGTGCAGCGAAGAAGAAATTGCAGGTGCCTTGCCCATTTCCTGGCTTGTCCCTGTCCCTGGTGTGTAGTGCAGATGTCCCACCCTTTTTCATTGTGTTACCCTGTAATACATACATACACCCTGTTGTATATTGCAGGCAGTGCCCCACCCCAGGGCGGCTCACTCTTTGCTTGCTCACACAGCACAGCAAGGTGGGCATTGTGAGGCCGGCACTGCTGTGTTCTTTGTCCTGTTGGTTCATTTGGTCAGCTAGTACCGCTCCTGGTCTGTTTGGGCAGTAGAAATTTGGATTTGACACTGGTCCTCAGGACAGATTGTCGCCATCTGCTGTCAAGGGGACCAGGGTAGAACAGTTTTGCTGCCAGGGATGCTTCTAGGGGCCCAGCGCCTCTATGGATCAGGCTTCTGGGAAGCAAATGGTCACAGGGCATGGCAGCAGGACTGCGGGGCCGTGGGGAGTCGGCTGAGAGCGAGCCTGTGGTGATAAGGAATAAGCACACCAAAGTGGGTGGGCTGCCACAGAGTGGCTGTCAGACCAGAGCTTTCTGCAGACTCCTGCACAGTTTGCGAGGCTGCCTGTTCGTGCTCTCTTGCTCATGTCCCTGTATTCCAGCTGCAATTCCTGGTTCAGGGGCTGCAAACACTGTTCCACCTGTCCACCTGCAGCCAAGTAACACCCTGTCACGTGAGCCATAGTTCAACCCCCCACTGAGTCTGAGAGGGTTTCATCCTCTACTGTGTTCTCCTGACTGACAAAGCATGTCCCCCAACCACACACAGGCTAGCTCATGACTGTCCCCTGCACCTTGTACCACAACAGAGGCAACCATAGCAAGGGTGAGGTGTGAGCACAGCAGAGCCCTAGCTTCAGCAGGAGCATTCAGGCAAAAGAAGCACCCCCAGTTCTGTCTTCCTACCATCTTCCCTCATGCCAGGCCTACCACCCTGCTGACACCCGTCTGTCTCCTCCTGCAGATGACGATGCTTTTGAGCCAGCAGAGGCCAGCCCACCGACCCCAGGGCATGGTGACAGTGACGGTGCATTGACCCGGCGTCTGGAGCAGCCTCTGCCCACTGCACGGGTCTCCCTGGCAGACCTGGAAGACTCAGCCAACAGTAGCAGTGCCCTGCTTGTGCCCCCTGACCCCACCCAGAGTGGGATCCCCCCTGCCACAGAGGCACTGCCAGGGGGTGGCTGCCAGAGCCGCAGTTCCCTCAATACCGTGGTGTAGAGGATCCCAGCCCATGGCCTCAAGGGGCATGGAGCACCTGTTTGCTTTCAAGAAAACTGATTCCCATGGAGACTTGAAGGGCCTGAGTGAGCCCGGACTTGGCTGCACTGCTACACCCCCCCGAAGGCGTGCCTGTGCATCTAGAGATGGCACCAGCCTCCCAAGGGAGCACCTGCATCGAGTCTCCTTGAGGGCTTCAAAGACAGACATAGCTTTGGGTCACTGTCTTTTTCTTTTTAAATGACAGAAGAATGATAAAGTTTGTTCATACCACACGTTTCAGAAATAGGGAACAAAGAAGGCACTGTGGGCCTGGGTGGAGGCCAAACCATATCCGGCTTTGGTGGGCTTGCTCGTGGCAGTTTGTCGTCCAGGGGAGCCTGCCGCCCACCCACCAAGCCCCAGAGCTGCTGCGGAGCACCTTGCTGGCCACTGCTCAGAAAGGCACTTCCGGGCACCAGTGTTTGTGGACTGTCAGGATAGTCTAGTCAGTGGGTTGCTACAGTGGCTGCTGTGGGGGTGGCCCCCCACAGGTCCAGCCTGAACATCAAGGATGACCCTACCTAGGCTGGAGACTAGCCAGGAGCTCTGGTGCCCAAGACCCTAAGAATGGGAGCATGGAAGGAGGTTGAACTCTCCACTCTGTCTTTCCAGCTAGGCTCTGCGAAGCCCAGTTCTATGCCAGAAAGCCCTATCCCTAGTTCCTCAGATTTCTCCCTGACATTGCTGTGCATGGCCTCCCCACCAGGAGGCAGCTCTGGAGCTGGGCTGAGGCCCTTAGCCATGCATGAGTATCCTGGCCCTAGATCCTCTGCTGGGGCTTCGGGGCTAAGCTGGCTCCTCTCTGGAGCCCCCTTCCTATTGAATTTGCCCCTGGGCCTGGCCTGCCCCACCCCACCTTTTTTGTGCCATAAAGGGTTGTTTCTTTGTGGGGAGAGGTGGCTGAAATTAACATCCTGGGCTGTGTCCACCTCCTGAAAGTCCACTTGCACACCACCACCACCACTAGAGCTGAGTGCCTGGTGGCTGCATGCCACCTTCCTGTCCTTAGCAGCACAGAGTGCTGGGTGCCCTGCCCAGGGGCCTTTGACCGAGGGACCCTGTTGCCTACTGGGCAGTGGTTTCGTCTCCTAACACCAGGCTTTTAGCATTTCTGAGGTTTGGAGATTAAGCGGGTTCTGTGCGATTTTTTAGCACATCCATATCTTTTCTACGTTGAATGTCTAGATCTTTTTGTGTGCGGGTGTGTCTCTGTGTGTGTGTGTATGTGTGTGTGTATATATATATGTCCAAGTGTTTGCAGGTGGTGATGGTACATGAGAACTCAGTCTTTGATTTTCTGGGCCAGCATGGCCTTTTGGGTGGCACTGAGTCATGGTTGAATCTGTGCCTGTTCTGAGAACAGACCCCAACTCCTGGTTCCTCTTTCAGCCTTTCCATACCAGCATGCGGCAAGGGAGAGCTGACTTAAAGTGGGTGCTTCTGTGGTGGTCTGGTGACAGACCTCGGAAGTACAGCCCAGTTCTAGGCACATTCTCACACTTCAGTTGGAAACTTGTTTTCTTCCAATGTGGAATGAGATTCTTGAATTGCCCCACAAGGCTGACCAGAGGTGTGTTTTGTCACAACTGTCTGTCCTTGGGCTTGTCCCACAGGAAGTGGTGTGTGCTCCCCTTGCCAAAGGGCTGCTACTTTGAGAATGGCATCCTGGGCACGTGTGCCCCACCCTGGCTGCTGAAAACAAAGCAGGAAATGTGTGGTGCCTCCAATGTGTGCTGGGCGCAGGGCAGCCGAATTTTAGAACAGCAGTGACAGGCCTTGTTGGTGTAGGGTTAGGGTCCTGAGTGGGCCTACTTTGAAATGACCACCCCAAAGGTGCCCTGTAGGATCTAGCCTCCACAGCACAGGGTCACCCCCATCCCATTGTCTATGGCTCAGGCCTCAACTATGTACAGGGCAGTTGCTGGCACTAGATGTGTGGGACTGGGGAACTTTTGTGGACCGAAGGACTGCTGGGGACAGGCATACTGGAGGTACTAAGGATAGGGTGGGTCTGCTTCTGGACAGGCCAGGGTTTTGTTAAAGGGTATTCAGCCCACCGGACATCTATGGGTTGGACAGAAGGTTGCCTGCTGCCCACTGTGTCTCCGGGAGCTGGAGGATGGTTGTGAGGACATCAGAGGAACAGGTGTAGTCTGCCTGGCTGACTGTGGCCTGTCCAGTCACCACCCTTTGTAAGGTCTGATTGTGCTCCATGGTCCAACCCTGGCTGAGACTCTTGTGTTCCTGTGAGAGGAGGGTTCCCCACCCTATGCACACTGGGCCTCCAGGGGAACAGGCAAGGTCTTGGGAGGGCCTCCTCCCCCAGGACCTGACCTACCTGGTGGAGGTGAGAGTCGAATCTGTACATTGTCTCAATGCCAGTTTTTTATGTTTTCCTTTCACTAAGGGTTTTTAGTTTGGGTTTACTTTTGGTTGGGTTGGCACTAATCCTTAAAATGCTGTGAGAACCATTTCATCCAAATGCCAAATAAATTTGTGTTCTGGAAGAGGTGTAGTCCTTGCTGTGACCCATATTGGAGATGGAAGGCTCTGACCAATTTTGGGCCAAAGCACAGGTGTGGAGATGAGTGGAATGGGGAGTTGGGCCATCTGTGGAAACCAGGGGTAGGCTTGGGGCTCTGAGACTCCTCTGTCCCTTCTTAAACAATGGTCCTTTCAATAATTTCTTAATAAGTGATGTGGGGACAAGAGGGCACTCAGGGGATTCAACCTTTGGCAGGTCTTTGTGCTAACCTTCCTAACTCAACCTCCTGGCCAGAGTGCTCCAGGCAGGGCTGGGGGAGGAATCCGGATTAGGAAAGGAACTATTGGGTCCCTTGGAAGGGATAGGAGCTTCAAGGAGATGGCATCTCATTCCTGGACACATCTGTGAGATGGCAGGCTGTCCTGGGTACCCTGGGTGCTGTCAGCACCGCGGACAGCTCCATGCCACTGGGTTTGCCCTCCTTCATCCCCCAAAGTGGGAAGAGCCCAGCCCTCTGGAGATTGGAAAGAGGGACCTGGTGCAGACACATCCCCCACTTCCCGAACACTCAACCCCACCCTGGCCACCATGCTCACACTGGTGGGCACGTTGGCACAGGTGTGGAGCCCTTTCCAGACAAGTGTCACCTCTCCAGACCATGTTGAGAGGAGAAATCAGAGCCTAACTTCCCAGGAGCGCAAACAGACTCAAGCCCCAACCTGGGGTCTGCTCCACAGTGCTGAGGAAGCTCAGTCCCCACCTGTGCTGGACAAACGGCAGGCTGTGGCTTCCAGGAGACCTGTTGGTGGCATGGCCCTCTGAATGGGGCGTAATAAAACAAAACTCCATGGCACACTGGGTCAGCAGGGGAAGCCAGTAGGAGGGTGGCTAGTCTTGGGGTGTCCCAGGCTTGCAGTGAAGAAGAGAAATCCTCCTACGTCCTCCCCAATCCAGCCCCTCAAGTCAAGGACACTAAAATCCAGACTGCCTTCCCCCTTGAATTTCCATGCTTTTTGGTGATCTTGCTATGTCACTCCTGGTCCTCAGTCTCTGTTTCTTTGTCTGTAAATGGGCATCTTTATTGTTCCCACTCCTGGGAGGGTTAATGGAGGACCGGGGAGTTCATGAAAAGCTTCTAGCTCCAGGAAATGCTAGTGATTGTTGCTGCCACGTGGCCTTGGTATCAGAGCCTGGTGAGCCCAGAGCGCCCTCTGCTGTTGTCCCTGCCTGGACACCGCCCCTCTGACCCACTCTATAAGCCCACAGAATGTAGCCACACCCCTAGCCCACCTGGCTCATAATACAGCTAGCTGCCTGGTGCAGTTTATATTCCTGCCTTGTTGCTGCAGCAGCTGAACCCTGTGGTCCCCTGGCTTTGCACTCACCTTCCTCACCATGCTGCTGGTGGTGCATGTGAACTTGGAGAGTGAGCACAGGCACTGCATTGCCACTCTACATGCCTCCTCCTGTGCCTGTTTCCTCTTTGGGCCCCAGGGGAGTTTCTGTCAGGAGATGCTGGTGTTGGGGCCACAGGAGAGGGGGTCTGCACTGGCCTCCCCTGGCATAAATCCTGTTCTCCCATTCTTGGACCCTGGCTGGGACGGAGCTTGGAGGGGGCCCACATGGTGGTCTCAGCTCAGTTCTCTGCCCACTGTCTGCAGGCACTTGGTGTTACAACTCCCAGGACCCAAAGTGCAGTGAGGACAGTGTTGTGTGAAGTTGTGTGGGATCAGGCTATGTCCTGTGGCCTCTAGACAGTCTGGTGCAGGCATGGCCAAAAGGCAGTCTGCATGCTGCGTTTCTGTGGTTTCTGAGTTTGTGTGTAGTCCTGGGCTACAGTGACTGGCTGGCACCCGGCAGCATGTTTGTGACTGTCCCTCTGCAGGTGTTCTTGTCCATGGCTACTGTGATCTCCAGTCCTGCTGTGTGCGCCAAGCTGCTTGTATCAGGTGAGACCTATAAGCATGTCAGAGTAGCCAGCGAGGTCCCCAGTGTGGGTATGTGACCATGTGCCAGGACACCCTGTAGGGCAGTCTGCCTGCAGGTGGCTATGTATCAGAGTGTGGCCTAGTTCGTGGAGCCTGCCCCTGTGAGTGAAACTGTCGCAAACATTGTGACCAGGCCAGGGTGGGGGAGTGTGTGTGGCAGTTGTGACTTGTCCCTGGGGGAAGCTGGGCAATTCTCTGGTTATGTGTGGAGGGAGTGAGGGGCCACCTTCCTCTGTGCATCCCCAAGTTGACTCCCTGACCCCCTACAGATCCCAGATATTTCCCTCAGGTCCAACCCACTGGAATGAGATGGCCCCTGCCTGTGGGGGCCCAGCCCAGTCCCCCATCAACATTGACCCCTGGTCCAGCAGGATCCCACCCTTGGACCTTTTATCTTACAAGACTATTGCTCAGCACCTCCAGACCCCTAAACCCTGGAGTATGATGGCCATATAGGTTAGCACCCTTGAGTCAGGTCCCAGATCCCCCCAAAGCCAGGGATGAACTCACTCGGATCAAGAACCCCTCCACTGGAGATAAGACACCATAAGGGGTCAAGGACAACCATCTACACACAGGGGTCAGGAACCTCCACAAACAAGTTAACCTCTACACAGAGGTAGAACCCCACCTTCCTACACACACACGAATCAAAATCTCCACAAATGACACAGGCACCTCCACACTGGTCAAAACACTCCCTGAGATGGGTTGGCAGTTGGACCCTCTACCAATAGCAATCAGTCATGGCCCCCAAGGACCAGGAGTCAGGCACCAGGATGCACCCAAAAGTAGTCAGGCGAGTCCCCCACAATCACACACAGCTGTGGTGGGTCAGGACTCCATGCAGGTTGAGAATTCCCACGACAGTCTGTGGAAAACAACCCCGCTGACCAGCTTAGGGATCTGGACACTGAGTGGGTCCCCTTTCCATGGAGGCCAAGCCAGGGAGTTGACTGGCTTGATGGGGACCCTAATGGCACAGGGTGGGTAGGTGACAGGAAAAAGAGAGGGTGTCACATGCTCTCTCACACTCAGTACTTTCTGAATGGACACTGGCCTGAAGAGCCCTCAGAGCTGTGGGGCACAGGTTGCCACTGCCTGCCTACTGCACACTGCCACTGCGCCTCCCCGGGGGCCTGGGTGAGCAGACTCTGGGCACAGCCTAGACAGGCAGCGCCTATCCTTGGAGGTGGGCTCCGACGTGAGGTGGAGTGCCTCACGGTGGCCAGGGGAACACCGTGGAGGTAGCTAGGTACCTCCCTTAGTTTGTGCCTCCCCAGATGCACATGGTCCACATGAACACATGGTACCAGAACATGGGGAGGTGTGAGGTCACTCTGATGGCTTGGCTGTGCTGGCCCTGTTGTTGGGGGTGAGGGTATGGCCGTGTGACTCCTGGCAGAGTGGGAAGGGCTATGTGACTCCCTGGGCTTTCCAGAGAGGAGGCCAACGGGGGGGGGGGGGGGCTGCGGAGGGGGCAGGGTAGGCCTCTTGAGTCTTGGGGTGGAAGGGGTCTTTAGGAGTTATAGGATTTAAAGGATTCTGTGGGGGAATAAGGCCAGTGAGAGGTGGTGGATCAGGGTCAGTGCTCTGGATGGTATTAAAGGACACGGTACCCACTGGGTGTGCACAGCCATGCCCTCCTCCACCAGACAGAGCTCCACTCCTCTCTTCCCCACTCCCTCTCCTGCAGCTGGGCCCATCAGCATCTTAACCCCATCTCTGCTACACCATGACCCAGGCTGCGCCCGGGACTCAAGCCTGGCACTGCTCACAGAGAATTTCCCCCCACAGCAGTCTTGTAGGGGGCAGTGCAGGGTCTGGGCTCACACTCAGGCCTCTGCTGGGCCTGGGACTCAGCCTGTGACTCTGGCAGAGCCCCTAGAATCCAGACATGACCTTGTTTCTGTGATACACAGAGTGGCCTTGGCCTCATGCGGCTTGGGACAGGAGTGTGGTGGGGGTGGCTGGGATACACTGCCTCTCCCAAGGAAATGGGATTCCTGCCTTAAACCCACTGAGGCCTTAGTGTGACTTCAAACAAGGGAGATACCCCCAAGCAATCCTCCACTACCCCACCACAGCCAGTCTCAGAGCCCCATCCAGAACCCCCAGATTTCTCTCAGAGGGAAAAGTCACCCCACTCCCAACCTACACATTATGTCTGAATCTCTGGTCAGATGGAAGGAGAAAAGCCCGCAGGTTCTGAAAACACCACCTGCCCTGGCCAGGTGACTCAGCTGGTTGGAGCATCGTCCTGTGCACCAAAAGGCTGCGGGTTCAATTTCCCATCAGGGCACATATCTAAGTTGTGGGTTTGATGCCTAGTAGGGGCACATACAGGAGGCAACTGGTCAGTGTTTCTCTCACTGACATTTCTGTCTCTCTCCCTTCCTCTCTAAAAATCAGTAAAAACATATCCTCAGGTGAAGATTTAAAAAATAATAAATAAAATACATTAAAACACCACCACCTGCTAAAAGCCTAAGATTACACATTTTATTTTGAAAACGATCTGGCACTGACCCCGGCTCACTGTGAGTGGTTAAATGAAGACTCCAGATAATGTTTCCTAGAGGCCAGGAGGTGAGAAGCACTGGTTCCAGGTTCCCCTGCAGGCTGTCCTGGGTGTGTGGGTCCTGGAGACAGGGACAGCTGGTGAAACTGCCCGGATGACACTCTGGGAGGTTAGGCTGTGGAGTCTGAGTGTACATGACACTTCCTGAAGAGACACTGGCATCCAGGCGACTGCCTATGGTGAGGCTAAGTGAAAGGTAAGTGTCCTAGGTGTCATGTCCAAAGTGAAGTTAGGAGTGCAGGTGTGGCTGCTGACCAGATGCGGCTGTGTACAGGCCACGCTGTTCTATGGGAGGCTGGGTCTGGCAGTCAGTAGAGTGAAGCTGGCCAGAGTCCGGCTGCTATGCAGTTGGTGCCCTGTGGAATGTGGCTGTAAGGGTGACACTGATCTGAGTGACACTGTGTCCAGGTGACAATGTCCCAGAAGCCCACGTGTCCTTGGTGTGTGGGTCACACTCTTTATCCCGGTGCATGCAAGCCCTGCCTCCTTCCCAACACCCTTAAAGAGAAAAAAACTTGCAACCCCCTTCTAGCCAAGGACTCCCGTCTGCAGCAAGCCCTTGGCTCTCCCCGAATGCCGACATACCCCAGGACCACATCTTCCCCAGCTCTAAGGCTAAAAGGGGCTCCACATCTCCTCCAGCCCGGACTCAGTCTCCAGAAGTGATCGTTGGCTGCGCTGAGCCATCCTCACTCCCCAGACGCCATCCGAGCCGCCACACGCCAATAACAGATCGGAGCAGGCGGCAGAGTTCTCTTCTCCCAGCCAGGTTCACGAGGGGGCAGATCTGCCCGTTCGCCCCTCCCGCCAGTGGCGCCTCCAGCACTGCGCCTGGTCCACCCTCGGCGCGGCTGTCCTCAATCCCCACCGCCCGGCGGGGCCCCAGGGGGTACCGGCGTCTTCTTGGGGTTCTTTCGGGCAGGGGCCCGGTTCGCGCCGACGTTCGCGGGGCCGACCGGGGCGTCGTCGGTGGGCCTGGTGACCGCGGCCAGGGCGTTCACGGTGCCGAGTGCCCGCAGCAGGGCGGGGCCGCGGGGAGCGACGCGGGGCTCCCGGCGGATTGGGGGCGGCGGCGGGGCCGGTAGCAGCGCGCGCAGGGCGTCCAGTTCGGCCCGCAGCTCTGTACGCAGCGCCTCGAGCCCTGCTCCCAGCTCCGCACGCACCGCCGCCAGGCCCTCCTGCAGCCGCCGCTCGCTCACCTCAAGGACGCCCGCTGGGTAGGTGGCCCCGACGCGCGGCTCCCCGCACACCGAGCACACAGAGCCTCGGCTGTGCGAGTCCGCCTGCGCCTCGGACCCCTCCGCTCTGGCCCCTGCCCCCGCCGCTGCCCCCACACGCTCCACCAGCCGCCGCAGCTGGGGAGCGTCGGCCCGCGCCTCCGCCTCAGCCCGGAGCTGGCCCCGCAGGCGAGCCAAGCGCCCCGGAGCGCGGGCTTCTTCAGGGCCTGGCCCATTGGGCTGGAGCCCAGGGTCCCGCCGGCGGCCCACGCCGCGCCGCAGCGCCTCGCTGGCGCCGTACGCGCTGCGCGCCTGGGCCCACGAGCGTCCGGACTCCGCCGCCATGCGCACTGCTGCCTCCACCGCCTACACCACCAGCTGCCGGCTTGACTGGAGCCCCAGTACGCAGCCTAGCGACTGCTGGGGCCAGGGCAACACGCGCTGGAGAGGGCCCCCGGGACGCTGTGAGGACATCCGAGGCCTCGAGAGATTCTACCTGGGGCCGGGAGAACCCCGGCAAGGCCGAGACCCACGTGGCAGGGCCCCAGGGGGCCCTCTGGAGGTGACGGCGCAGGCTTCAGTGTTTTGGAATTGCCCTTGGGGACGCGCTGTCAGTGGGTGCCAACAAAGGGCTTGGACCAGCTTCTGGTCAGAGGTGACGTGGTGTGGAGCAACAGTTGCAGAAGCCGAGGCACTGAGACCAGAGTCAGGTACTGAGCTCACATCCTCTACACCCCAGTCAGGCGAAAGCAGGTGTGGTCATGGATCCAGCAGCCCTCCTCACCGGCTAGAGCCACCTCCTTCCATATCATAATCTAGGCCACTATTATCTCTCTATTCCGTCCCCCCACAGTCCACGCGCAGCTGCAAGAATCCATCCTTGACATAGACACTGCCTTTCAAACTCTTCAGGGGTCTCCATTGCACTAACTGTGCCCTGCTTTCGGGGGCGCTGGAGGTCCCAGCCCATCTCCCACTGTCTGTGTTTGGCCACATCTTTTTTAACCTCCTTTAACTCAACAACCTTCTCCACCCCCTCTGGACCTTTGCTTAGGCAGGTTCTCCTGCCTGGCATGTTCTTTCCACCCCCACTAACCTGGCCAATCTCATGTATTCCACTTGTGCATGGCAGCCTTCTTTGACCACCCCACACCAACCAGGTAACTCAGGCCCCTTCCCAACAGCACCCCTCACAGTCGGTTTAAATGGCTTTCTGTTCTCTCCACCTGGATCCATAGAAGAATCCCTGAGCACAGGGCTAGATCAAGTAGTAATCAGAGATACTAATTGTGCTCAACGTTGGATGAAGGAGTAGATGGGTGAACTAGTCTAGGGCTAAGGATCCTCTGTGAAGCAGGCCTCCTCCTCCCACCCCCACACAACCAGGGCAGCCCATGTACTCCCCCCCCCCCCTAGTATTTGAGGCCCTATGGCCATCCCTGCTGCCTTTTCTGTCCATACCACCTTCTATAAGAGCCCCTCACCACTGCACCCTGTCTTTTCTTACCCCTGTTCCTGGTGCCTTCACACATTCAATGCTGTTCATCACAGGGCCATGGACAGTGTACTGCAAGCCCCTCTGGAGGACAGTATCCCCACCCAGCATGTTGTTCTCATTGCACCCTAGGGGCTAATTAGGAATCTGGGTGTCATGGGACCTCCCCAGCAAATTGTGGAGAGGGAGGGCCTGGCGAGGATCCAGACTAGACTGGGATCCCAGGACCCACAGGGGCCTAGCCTCTATGCGGCTTCATGTGGAGGAAGGGTGATGTGGACCCTGTTTGCTAGCAGACCCTGGCCCCAGCCTCTGTAAAGAGGCTGGGTCCCCTCTATTTGTTAGTTAATTCATTCACTCATTTGTTCATTGCAGCCTGTCTCTATGGAAGGTGTAGGGGAGGTGAGAACTTGGCCCTCTGTCAACCCCTCAGATGGCCCCATTCCTGCTGAGTCACCTGGCCTGCTGGGACCTGGAGCATCATTAACCATCCCCTGCCCCCTCCCCCAGTAATTAAAATACTGATGACTAAAGAGCCCTGGATTTCCTCCCCAGCCTTCGGGATCCAGGCTATGTGACCTGTGGGCTCTGCCCTCTCTGAGCTAAAATTGAGTTCTCTTCTATGAGATGAAGGAGACCCCTAAAAAGGTCTACAAGGAGGCCAGGAGAGGGCTCAGGAGAGATCCCAGATTCGCTGACCAGCAGACCAGCAGATGTGGCTGTGGGAGCCGAGGGGTGAGGGTTTGCTGCCAGGGTCCCTGGAAACCTGGGCAAACAGAGGCTTTGTAGTCTCTGGCTGTGAGGCTGATGGGGGCGGGGGTAATAAGAACAAAGCCTTTGCAGTGAGGAGTTCGAGTTCTTGCTTCAGCCTTGTGGTAGGGGGGTCCCAAAGCCATGAACTTGTAGATTGCACAGGAGCAAGTACAGAGTTAAAGGCAGGCCCTGGGAACCCCAGTGGATCGCGAGGAAGGCTGCAGAGGTACTGGTGAGGGGGGAACAGGCAAGTGTGGTCAACATGACTCTATGCCCATGAGGTCAAGTGCAGTGAGGGTTGAGAAGTAAGTTGTGACCTGGCCTGAGTTTCATGGGTGGAGGGGCTAGGGCAGAAGCTGAGAACTGGAGGTGAAGAGATGGGCTGGAGAGCCCTTGCTGAGGCTGGCTGATTAGAGCCAAAGTAGGTATAGTCCCTCTGGGACAGCGCTTCTGGGGGTGGAGGAGGGCTGCTTTCAGGTTCCTCCTGGAAGCTCCTCACAGCCCAGCCTGCCCAGTGACTCTGAAAGGAGGAGCTGACTGGGGCCCAGTCAAGGCCCAGCTCCTTCCCAGTTTTAAACCCCTCTCTCTGTGCCCAGGGTCAGAGGCCAGACCTAATGCGGGGTAGGGGGGTCATCTGTGTCTGTGAGAAGTCATTAGCCGGCACCCCAGCCCCCATGACTATCCGCAGCCTGGCCCTATGCCTGGAGAAGAGGGGCAGTCACTCCATGTGACTTAACTGCCGTCACTGTTGCACTCTGTGGCCATGAAACCCTGGCAGCCACCTAGAGAGGAGGTTTTACTTCCCAGAACTGGAGGGCAGTTGGGAGCAGGAGTGAGTTCAGCAAGTAGGGCCAGGCAGGCTTTGCATGTTGAAGGGGCTCTGGTGGCCTCAGAAGGGACAGGAACAACTGGTGTCACTGTAGGCTCAGTCATCAGGGGAACATCTGAAAACACAGATCCTCAGGTCCCCTGGACGGCACAAGGTAGAAGGGATGTGGGTACTTGAGGGCACCTGGTTTTTCTCTTCTCCAGTTATCTGCATACCAAGTTCAGTCCGTCTGGTTCTCTGTGAAGTGGGGGATGTGGAGATGTGGGTTGAAGTCCCTGAAGCTGGCCGGGCAACACAACACCCTGGCAGGCTCTGAGGATCTGTATGAGGAGGGGCACATTAGGCTCAAGGGGTGAGCTGGATGGGACCTGCCTCAGGACTATGGTCTGCCCTGATCGATCAGCCACGGGGTAGGGTGGGGTTGGGGGTGGGGGAGGTTAGTCTTGGATCTGGTCCTGGAGCGGGCAGTGTGGGCTGAGGGTCTGGGATGGGGACTGCCCCTCTCCCTTCTGGTCTGGGGCCCTGGTTCTCAGCACTCCCAGTATGCGTGCCTGCCCATCCTCCACTGCAACTGTTATCAGCGTAATTAGCTAGTTAAGAAAGAAAGCAAAGGGAAGTCAGACACTGTGTGCACGGCTACTTGGGAAGCTTCAGCAGGAAGCTACAGCTTCACACTGCATTACTCCTCTAAGGGGATTAACACCCTCCATTCCTGACCTGGTACTGGATTGTTGGGGACAGAAGAGGGAAATAGGCACATTTGCAGAAGTCCGGGTGGTGCAGGGGAGGTGCTTGCCTGTCAGTCTAGCCTGGGGAACAGTGGATTGGCTAGGGGGTGGACCCCTCAGAAGCTGGGAAATCTTGGAAAGTTAATTGGTTAGTTTGAAGAAGTTCCTGGTTAAAATCCCCCGACAAAGGAGCTTTCGCTCTCTTGCTCTGGGACTCGCACTCGTCCTGAGTTTGTACATTCTCTCTCATAGCAATGTGGCCTTAGTAGCCATGGCCATATGGACTTCACATGCAGGATGCTGAACTGGACTGGACTTTAATATGGAGCAGAGTCTTGGCCACTTGGCTCAGCAGTCAGAGCCCTCAGACTGAAAGGTTTCAGGTTCGATTCACAGTCAAGGGCACTTAGGTACCTGGGTTGCAGGCTGGATCCCTGGCCCTGGTCAGGGTCGTGCAGGAGGCAACCTGCAATTGATGTGTCTCTCTCACATCAATGTTTCTCTCTCTCTCTCTCTCTCTCCCCCTCCCTCCCTCCCCCCCCGTATTAAAAGTTAATGAAAAAATATCCTCAGAATAGGATTGACAACAAAAAAATCAGATAGATAGATAGATAGATAGATAGATAGATAGATAGATAGAAGAAACTATGGGCAGCGGCCTTAATTCTGGCCCTGCTGAAGACAAGATTGGACTTTCTCCATGCTGGGATGGACAGAGATGGAACCTTGGAGAGGAACTCCTTTAAGTTTACATAGTCAATAAAGCATTCCATGAAACCCCATCCTTCCATGGGGGCCTCAGGAAATTCATTTCCTCCTGGAATCCCAAGAACTCCACTTCCACTGTTAACACAACTGTGGTGCTCACTCCCGGAGCTGGACTGGCTGGACCTTTGGAAGGTGAGCAAATGAGGCCAGCTTGGCTTGGGCCTGGACCCTTAGGAAGGGAAGGCTATTGTGCCTTTTGTGTCCCCAAAGTGCTGGCCATAGAGCAGGGCCTCAGCTAACTAAGCCAGAAGGTCTGGCTTGAGCCATTGCTCAGAACTCAGTTTTGGGTTAGTTCTCCCTGTCTCACCTCTGGCAACCCCTGTTGCCTTACCTCAGTTTTCCCACCTGTCAGATCCCAGGATGAGACTGCTGACCAGGAGATGCTATGGACAGCCGAGGTGACAGAGACTGAGAGGACATGCAGTGGCAGGAGTAGGTCTGTGACCTAAAGGACGACTCTGGGAGGCTCTGCTGTCTGGACCCCTGAGCTGAAGATGGCCAGTCTTTTAAAATTTTATTTATTTATTTGTTTGTTTGTTGTTGTTTATCCTCACCTAAGGATACCTTTCTACTGATTTTTAGAAAGAGTGGAAGGGAAGGAGGGAGGGGGAGAGAGAGAGGGAGACAGAGAAACACATCAATGTGAGAGAGACACATCGATTTGTTGCCTCCCACACGACCCGGACTAGGGCCAGGGATTGAACCTGCAACCAGGCACATGCCCTTGACAGGGAATTGAACTCGTGACCCTTCGGTCTGAGGGCTGACACTC